AAAATTTTTTAATTTAAATAAAAATAATAACATGTTTCTCTAAATATTTCACAATGTACATACTAAGTATAAAAGAATGTGTTTTTAAACATAATTCTGCTATTTTAGTATTCAGCTATTTTCTACCCAGCAGTGACAAATTCCAAAGCAATAAATGTTTAAAAATATGCATCTACATAACCATTCTGCATTTACGTCGCTTGACAAATGAATTATTAAGACTTGTTTGTCTACTGCCGCTCAAAAATCCCAGGTTATCAATAACAAAAAAGCATAAACAGTAAAACATTAAAGTATGTAAAATAAAGTTGTAAATTTTAGCACTGGCTTGACACTCGACAGTCCTATGCCAATATGTACATATTTAAATATGAAATTCAATTCGCACAGCGTTCGAGTGATTCCCACGCTCGCCGGAATTGAAAAAATCGACACCGACGCACGGAAAACGCGTAGAAACACGTATTCTACATTCATACAAACTTGATACATATTGGTATGGATATAGTGGCTCATGAGATCCCACAAAAGATAAATCAACACATACTAAGAGTTTAAATAAAAAATTTAAATTATTTTTGGATAAATATTCAAATTGAAGTTTTTGTGATGAAAAAAAAATTGTTAAATCACTCAGTATAAAAGGTGTAGTATAATTGGTGGATACGGTTTGTGAAGTAACGCACCATGGGGTAGAAAAATCTCGTCTAGCCACTGATGCTAGACTAGAGGGTGGAAGATTAGACCGTTGCTATTGTTAACGGCTCGAATCGAGTTTAAAGGCACCTTACCCCAGTAAAATTACCACGCAGGTAGAAAAATTCAAAAGTTTCAGTTATAACTTGATTTATTCTACATAAACCAAAAGTTTGGTTATGTTTTTAATAAAACCACACAATAAAAAATTAAATTTTAAGGTTAAAACATGTTTTAATGCTTTATTTACCACCTAAACCTAAAATAATTCAATTATTACTTTTTATATTATTTTATACAACAAGGAAGAACTCTATTTGAACTCATGTGGAACGGATGCAGTGATATTCGAGATGACTTGCATTCTGAAAACCAACTGCAACATAACGTGCGAAAACCTAAACCTATAGTCCTCTGAACCTACATCTCGCTGATGTAGATCAAAGGAATTCGCACGGAATTCGCATCCCACCTACGAAGAGTCCAACGGCGGAACAATTCCATCTGATACCGACCTCATAGATCAACAGCTTGGACGCATCCGAGCGCAAACTAAATACCCCGCAAAGTTTTCGCTTTATTTACGTCAAATTCCCACAAATGTAGGTAGGAAATCAATATATTGAATGTGGATTTGTGGGCACGATCTTGAATGACACTTAAAACTTCCTGATGTTTCAAATTTATGATAAATTGATTTTTTGTTGTTTGAAAAAAAAAATATCAATTGGAAATAAATATTTCTATATTTAAATTTTTACAACGTTTACAATGTTAATAATATTCCCAATAATTGCCCTGTAAAAGTGTCATAAAGTCATAAATAAATTGCAATGTTGCATAATATTACAAAAGACATTCCGAAAGATTTATGATTATAATAAATAATGATGACGTAAAAACCGAAAACGAAGTCACTAAGAGTGAAGCCAAAAGCAACGAAGATCGAAAACGTGAACAGTTACACGAAACAAAACAAGTATTTGTTTAACAATTAGATAGTTGTAGACATGGTATCGCCATCTACATGTCCGTCACTAAACTACATTCGAAGAAACACAATAAGATACAATGCAAATCTTACTGTTTTTTTGTTGTGTTTATTTATATTCGATTCTCTTGTACTATAACTTTGATTTCTTTGCGTGTTTCGCACATTAGATAAATTATCCACAGCCAAAGCAAGTCATGCCAAACAAATAAGCGATAACGGTTTATCTTTTCGATTATTTATTCTTTATATTTTTCGCTTGTTTGCACCTTGCGTTTGCTTTACAAGAATATAAACTAAAGTAATTTCTAGACATGTTCAACAAGTCGAATAATATCAATCATAAAATGTCACTCTAATTTCACTGTTTTGGTTATTAATTTGAAGTTAATTTATTATACAGTTATAAATCAGTTTCACTATTTGTCTTCAGTTATAAACTCCGCAGAAACGCGAAGATGAAATGAAGATTCATCTCGTGTGCTCCTTGTGTGCCTTTTTACCGTTTTCGTCGAAACCGAAAAAAACGTTTCACTTTTCTCAAATTCATTACACGCAACTTCAACTGAAGATCAACATTTGGCTAAAAATTCTCCGAATTTCATTCTCACCGAGGCATTAACATCAAATATTAATGTATTTATTTCTATTGCTTTAATTCTAATTAAGATTTGATTGGAATGCTTGCGTGCCTGCGCATTAACTTGAACTTCCTTCGAAGTTTGTTTATTCGTTGTTCTTGCAAGCCGTTGAACTTTCATTCGCCGCTCGAAGGCGCTAACAATTTCCATGTGAAACAGCGTTTAATTAACAAGCCAGCCGAAAACGTTATTAAAACGTGAATTCGAGCAGGCGGCTTGGCGATTTTTGTGCAAGGCGGAAGGCCAACGAACAGCGACGACCGTGAAAGATTACGATTTCATCGCCGAATTTACGCGCAACAACAACAACAACAAAAAACCGAACATCTAATACATTGTGTGCACAATTTATAGAGTGTAGTAATATGCGCCATATTGTTATTCGTGAGAAACGAGCGCTTGGGTTTTTTTCGGGGCGCTTCGCAAAGTGCAAGTAACGCGTCGTAATAACACGTAACGAGGCATAATAATGTAATTTACGATTGGTCGTAAATTATTAATAGATATTTTGGCGGTTCGATGACTTCAAACATTTCCAGTGCAAAGACTTTAAAACGTTTTATATCTATCTATACTTCATTATTGAGGTTATGTTTAGAGTTACAAAGTTTGTTAGGTTATGAGGGTTATAAGTGAATAACTTTTTCCTTCTCTCTATGTGTTTAACGATTTGACATTCGACGTTGAGAATGAACATCGCGTTGGCAACATCCGCGCACTTAGCATTAACATTGAAACGCGCGGATTCGTGGTCTCGCTCGCGCGCAGGAGTGGAGTATAAGGTCAATGACTGTAAGTTACCTGGACACCGAGTTCCCTCCTGCTCGAATCCACACAGCGTCGGCCGCGGCCACGCCATGGCATTAGTATTATGCATGATGATGTGACGGTTCGCGTTACACAACCGCGACTGGTGAATTCGTAATAGCCGCGAGAGTTTCAAGATGGCCGCCGCGAATGCCAATGCCATGTTGGTTGCGCGCGCGCGTTAGACATTCGTGGAAATCAAAGTCAAAGTCAAAGCGAAACACGACTGATTATCTTTGCAAAGCCGGCAAATCACGAAAAACAAAATTGATTTTACGTTTATTAAGTTAAGTTAAGTCAATAGATAATAGTTATATTGTTAAACACTTACTTTTTAGAAAAACAGCGTTGTAGAGGTGATTGTTTCATGAATATTAACAGATTACTATATTTTTATATGATGTGCATTCTTTTATCTGGGAAATTTTTATATGTTTGATTTAAAAATAAAATTTATTGATGGGTTTTGTTTATTTTTGTCTGCAAAGGTCTTTTACATGCAATTAAGTATAATTAACGTGTTGTAACTTTGAGGTTAATGTTTTTGCTATAATTTAGAAGAGTTAAGCAATAAAATTCAATATTTAGACAAATTCTAACAAAAATGATAATTCTCTATGAATTTCTTTAAAAAAATTTAATCTATTGATTAGATTACACTTTCAATTGTAGATAAACTTATTTTCTATACTTAGCATAACCTCATTTGGAAATAGAATTAAGATAGGCAACCAACAATCCTCGCCAATCCTCAGCTATTATCCGCTAAATACAATTCAGTTATTTTGATAAAATTTTAATTGGCAAGCTCCAAAATACATTCTGACGTGTTTGATTGACAATCAAGACGGCCTTCAGGTGCAACATGTTCTTTAAGATGACGCGCATGGCGAGACCGATCCACTTCACAGTCGGCAACTTCTCGCCTTTGACACTTTCCACCATTGTTACGGTAAATTCGTGTTTTGCCTCGTATCAACTGTTATTATAACCGAAAGCGTGTGATTTGCACTTAATCAAACTGAAAACAAAAGGATAAAATATGCATTAAATCCCCTGGAAATTCTGCAACCAAATATACACTCAACACATTCGTCAATAAATTATAATAAAATATAATTGCACATATGCTGCATATAACAAGCTGTGCATATATAATAGCCTGTATTAAAATCAACTACAAGAAAAGAAAAGAACTGCAAATCAGTGTAAATTATATTTTATAATAATAATAGGTTGATATAACAGATGTTATAACGAAAATGCACTTTTTACAATCAGCCTGGAATAGCATACAATGCAAAATACACAACGAGCAAACAATACCCGAAGTAAACATGGAGATTAAACTGTAATCATAACATGCAGGCGAAGACAAAATGTAGATAGTTTCATTTTCCATGCAAATAAGCATGGGGAGTGTCTCTGAATTGGTTGGCAACACTGCAAAAAGTAGCGTACACTTAGTCCTGACTGTAAAAACAGTCATTGTGTTTCTCCATCGGTGTTCACCGTAATTTGCACCTCGTTGAGACGATAAAAAATTGATTCGCGTAAGTAGCTTATATAAAAACACCTCGCACAAAGATTTTTCTGTTAAACAAAATGTCGCAAAAGAATTATTTCGATCTGAACATAAGAATTCTCAAATTCAGCGGAATGTGGGTGCCATCCGCTGATAAACCACTTTTATATCGAAAGTTAATATTTATCTACAATTTTTTTCATATTTTTTATCCGGTTGTCTTTTTTACGATCTTGGAGTTTTTGATTTTACCAACAACAGCGAAAGATTTAAATAATTTAATGAAAAATCTTAATATGGCGATTAATCACTTCTTCACTGGGGCGAAAATAGTCACATGGTTCTATTACAGAAAAGATATTCTGAGAATCATTGATATTTTGCATGAAAATTCACTCATGTACGAATCTTTCGAAGATTTCAACCCGGAGGATATTGTTAAAGCAGATAAGAAAATTCTTGATAGATTTACACTTGGATTTGGAGCTCTGGCTGGTTTTTCAGCATTCACAGCTCTTCTAAGATGCTATGTTATACTTTTATTCGATTATGAAGATCAGTATATCTATGAAGTTGATTCTTTCAATGTTACAAAACCGATTTATAACCAAAACTTACCTTACTACAGTTATATATTCTGGGATCATCAGAAAAATAGATGGAACTTTGCTTGCGCCGTGTTGTTTCAGTGTTATCCTGTATTTTTCTATGGAATGATTGTTACTGGGTTTGATTCACTCTACGTAGGGATAATAAGCAAAATAAGTTGTCAAATAAAAATTCTTAACGAAGCGTTTAAAACTGTACGGCCACGTTGTCTAAGACGCTTGGGACTTCCGATTACTTCTTCGGGTGATGTGCTCAGAGAGGTGGATTGGGTCAATCGTGAACTGAACAAAGAGTTGACTAGAAATACGAGGTCTTTGCAAATTGTTTTGTCAATTTGTGAAAAAATGGAAGAAATTTTTACTTATGCTGTGCTGGTGCAAGTTATGGTGTCGCTACTTGTGTTTTGTTCTTGTTTATACTTAATATCTACGGTAAATAATTTTATTTTTTATTTTTTATTTTAATTTTGAGATTTAAACATTTTTTTCTACTTACACCCATTTTTTCACGATTTTGAGACACAAAAACTGGTAGTTTAAACACTGATAATCAAAGCCGGGTCAAAAGTAGTTTAGTCACGGGCTTTAGTCACGGGGTGAAGCTTGCGTGTGCACACATTTCCCAAAATTAAAAAATTAAAACTCAATAAACTAAAATATTTAAATCTGAAAACCGAAACTTACACAAAATGAATTATTTAATTATTTAATAAATAATTTTGAATATTTTTCCTTAGATGCCGATAACAGATAAACGCGTAATCGTTGAAAGTATCTTCATGCTCGCAATTGAAATGCAACTTTACATGTATTGTTATTTTGGTAACCATGTCACAACAAGGGTGAGTTTTACCATATTAATCCCCATGCTAACCTTCTACGGAGCCAACAATTCATTAAAACTTAATTAGTTACTTTTCTATATCAGTGAAAACGTAAAACTTCAGCAAACCTTCATTAGGCGTTTTCCCACATGAAAAAACCAACAAAATATAATTGATTATGCAGCGCGATTGATATTGACTCCATAGAAGGTCATGCACATGCACCATGAACTTGCACATAATAATAAAGCTGCCATTTTTGGTCTTGCTTCTTCTAATTAGAGTGATGAGATCTCCCTGGCCTTATTCGAGGGCGACTGGTTGTCAACCGACGCGGCATTTAAGCGCAGCATGCTCATCACTATGACACGGGTGCAAAAACCAATCACGTTGACTATTGGAGGATTTTCGCCTTTGACTTTAGCCACATTTGTTACCGTAAATTACATTAAACATTAAAATATTACCTAAAAACTAACAAAACTTTTATTTTTAGATTGGCAGAGCTTCGTATTCGTTTTTCGCAGTGATAAAAAATGCAAACATTTAAATTAGTTCATTGCTAAAATATGTATTGTATAATTTAACGTTTTTATTCGCATTGAAAGAGATTGTCACGGTCAAGGTCTCGGCGAGCTAAGCTTCTTTCTGTATCGCTATCTTTGTTGGTTGTTCCACCAGTTTTGCACTTCCACTTCGTCCGATGGCGAACCGGTAATGCAATAATACCATCTATTATTCAACATCCAACGAAGCGCAATGCGCAAACACACATTGCACACGCAAATGTTCAATGGATATCCCCTAGCATTTCTTTATGTAAGTACATACTCTTTGCCATTGTGGCAAACAACAGAAAACACGCAATTCGCATTAAACACTAAACACAAACAAGCTTTACATAACCTAACCTAACCTACAACTAGAAGCAGGTATAAAAATTGCGCAGACGGAAAGAAAACCGTAAATACAACTGGTAACAAAAGATGGCCGACGTACGACAAACGCCAAATGTCAAACAAGATGTTTAATGTCCAACATCGTCCAAAACTCAACACTCAACACGTTCCTCTACTGAAAGATGTTTTATTGTTGCTTAATGTAAAACTTTCAGGGAGTAAAGAACGAATTACGATTACCTACGTTTGCGTTTTGCGGAAACAGCAGTCGTGTTAAACGTAAATCTAAACGTTAAATGAGCAAATGTTGTACTGATTGCACGCAAGAACTTACCTGACGTCTGAGTTGTCATGAAACACAACAAAAGTTGAATCTAGTAGAAGTTGAGGACAAGCGACACAGCTGTAGCCTCCGCTATGGTTCGCTAATGACATTTTACTTGTTCACTTCTGTGCGTGTTCGCTTAAAACATCATTTAAAGACTTACTGGATACTTTATTTTTTGCTTTGTTGCTGGTTTTTATGGTTAACGCCGTTGCGCCGTTGTTTTCATCGTCATGTGTTTGTTCAACTTTTGTTGTACGTTTAATTGTTGTCGTTAACAACATCAACAAACTTACGAGTTGTTGAACTTAAAATTGTAAAGCCTAGGCAGATAAATTGTATTTTAACGAATATAAATTGAGAATTCTATTAAAAAATTATGTATTCAAATCAAGATCAACATTTTCAGCATCATTAGAGTTGAGTAATCCACATTATAAGTGTATAACCATGAAATCTACTCGATTCGATTTTTACGGCCACTTAAATCGCTTCTAATCACATAGTAGATGCTAAACTTTGCCGCATTCAAATGAGAACATTATATATTCATCACATTATGAAATATCGATCAACAAGCAGGTGGAAATGGAAATGGAAAAATTCTTTCAAATTATTTGCAATGCAAAAAAAAAAAAAAGCATCAACCGAATGTTTCGTGTTTTGTTCGTATTCGTAAATGTCAACCATTAACAGTTATTCTAATTACTCGTACACCAGATGCTTATATAACTTTTGTGGTTTTCATAGTTATTAGCAATAATTAATTATTAATCTGCGCGTTTTTCATCTAGTGGATATTTATTACTCTTTGTCAGAGGAATACAATTTCCTAGTTAGAGTGTAATTAAAAAATTCTGCAGACATTCCGCAAAATGATTAAATTAAGTAATAAAGTATGCTTTACAGTTAATCTGGAATAAATCAATCATTATTTTTGCATGTGATTTGAAGGTTTGAATTTGATGATTCACATTTGTGTGTGATGTTTGTGATGAATAAAAACTAACGAGCACGAATCGAAAACGGGAAAAAAGTGAAAAAGAGTGAAATCATCGAAAACAAGAACGAATCGCCTCGAATATCTACGGCCAGCGCGCGCTCGCATAACTGATGTAATACTTTTTCTATTTTATTTTAATTTCTCGGTGTACGGTGGCTGTCTCGCGATGACGCGACCGCGAAGAGATGAGAAGAAAGTCCAATTGAACTTTGTTGCTGAGGATTAATAACCGTACTGTTTGTAAAACTGTACTGATATTAAATCTTTCACAAGAAAATAGATTTAACCAAGATTAATGAAGACGCCATGTTAATTCTGTCAAATATTTATAGGCTATGATGTTAAAAACATGTCAAAAATACGTTTTGTGGTTTAAAACCTTTAGAAACAAGAAAATAGAAGAATAAAAGTACAAAGGCACGATACCAATGCACAAATCAAACAACTGCTTAGATTTTCTGTGTTTGCTGTGCCGCCTTGCCTATCATTCCGAATGCAAAGTAAAAACGTTTCGAACATTTTTGATGCCAGATTGTGGCTTCTTCGCATAGCCTCGAGTACTGATGGTTCAAACCCGACCAGTTCCAACGTTCGCAACGTCTGCAATGCACGCGAGGAGGCCATAACGGGGATATCGGCGCGTTACTAACCAAGCGACCCAAGAACCAAGAACTAACCAACAGCAACAATACTCGAGATGGGCGAATTCGTGTAAAACGGCGATGTGCGTGCCTTCAGTACTCAACCACTCGAATATTTGATTCACGTCGAGGCGAAACACATAAATTGTATGATGGTCAACAGATGAATGATGTGTTTGATTTCGTTTTAGGTCGACAGGCAAACAAATTCTAAGTAAAATTCAAATATTTTTATAGTGATGAATATAAACATTTTATATTTTTTAGTGTTGCGTTTTTTACTTTCTTCAAATTGAATAATTGCCTAGAAAACGAAAGGGTTTCTTTTATGTTGTTGGTGGTAGGTCGTAAAAAGATGTTATTGAATGGTGTGCGCCTTCTCGGCATTAATTCTTTTCACATTTTAAGCAATGAGCAGTAAAATTTTAACCACCGAGCAGTTTAACCCTTTAGGGGACCGCTTTATGCCATTTTTACGATGCGAAACGTCAGTAAAGTGTCAATAAAAACAAAATAATTAAAAACACAAGCAGTAAAATAACAAAAATTATATTTGAGACTTTTTTGTTCTGTTGTATCGCATTGCATAGATATTTTAAATAAACTTAAGTCATTTCTAAGATTAAACTAACCTCAAAACAAGAAAATTGTGTTAATCATTAATTATCTGTCTAATATTTTATTTTTTACTATTTATTTTGATTATTGAGTTTGATTTTTTTGTGTTTTTCTTAAGAATTAACCCTTTACCAGGTGTATGAATCAATAATCATGTTAAAAATGATTAATTATAAATTCTAACCTTAAAAACAACTTCAACGCACATGTCTTTACCCAAACAAAAAACTAAAATGACTTTCAATCGATCCCCATAAAGAAATTCACTTTTAAGCTCTATTTCGCCCCTTTGTCTGCCTAAATGTATTCATTCTAATCCACACTATGGACGGATGTGGACCACAACCACAAAAAACTTCCGAACGCAGTAGAAATAAAGAAAAACCGAAAACATCTCAAGGAAGACCTTGAACACGTCCAAAGAAACGAAAGTAAACTAAAAATAAAATAAAAAATAGAAGGGTTGGTTTTAATGGTAGTCGTTGGCATGGTTGGCATGGTTGTGATTGAGTCAGCTGCAAGCCGATGTGCTGGGGTGTGGGAAAAACACACAGGTGGCACCATCATAGCCCACATCCACTCGTCAGCATCTTACCTGTGTGAGATTTTCGGCATCACACATGATTATCATCGAGGGGGAGTATGGTACTCGTATAGTACCTTCAAATACGGTGCAAAGGAAGCGCAACCGGTGCGAAACAAACGAAAACGGACGCTGGCAGACAAAACATTTGATCGGGAACGTGTGAATATTTTTTTCGGATGTTTCACAATCGATTATTAGCAAAAAAAATTGGAATTTGAATAATTATTTAGGAAAATATAAAAATAACAAAAAATTGTTTCTTTTTAAAAGTAAAAATGCATGTAAAATATTTATTCAACTCTTGTATTGTTATTTTATGCTTTAAATCAATGTTTTGTTTATATTTTACTTTATTTCGATAAAAATTGATTAAAACTGTCAAAAATATATCAGTTACCTTTCAAATCCTTTTATTCATCAATAAAACTCTTTCTGTTTCTTGTAAAATTTGATTTTTACCAACAAATCAATAAAATTTTAATCATTTTTTGCCAAATAAAAAAAAACTAGCAAAAACTATTTCCTTCCACAAATAAAAATGTAAGTAAAATATTTTTTCAACCCTTCTTTTGTTATTTTAAGCCTTAGATCAATACTATTCCTTGCTCTAGTTATCTATAATCTTACAAAAATATGTTTTGTCCGTTTTCAACTTTCATTTCTATAAAATTTTATTGAATCTGTCAAAAATCTACCTGCTACCGTTCAATTCCCATTATTCATCAATAAAACTCTTTCCGTTCCTTGTTAAGTCTTTTGTATAATGTTTCATAGACACCAGTTGTGTGATGTGCCAAAATTCGCAGTTGCCTCACTTTTTTCTATGAGAATCTGAAAATTTTGAAGTTTCTGTGATGAAAAGTGAAAGGGTGTTTTTTCTTCTTTTGTTGCGCTTCCTTTGTAGTAACAGACTTTAAAATCCCTCATGGCCCATATTTGTGCCGATATATATGTGAGGGTGTGTTCTTACCTTCGAAAGGTCGAAAAAGGATCGAAGGAGGTGCTTATGACGCCGCGTAGCCTAATTTTAAGAGTGCTCAAAGTGTTGCTACATCCTCTCGCTCTTAAAGGTTTTATTTTTAAGTTTAAAGCATTTTATACCAGAGAGTAGAGTTGCTAAAGTGTGGGAACTGATTGATGGGGCATGTGGCATCCGCTGGGAAGTCGGAAACTTCCTTGAAAATAAAAAATAAAACAAAATTCAAAAAGGGTTTCTAATTTCTAAAAATTCTAATAAATTCACCTAAGTGATAAATGTTGTTGTTTGTCATCCGGCTTGTTTGCTTCTGTTGTTATTGTCCTCTGATAATTCTATTACGCTGGTGTTTTAGTGAATTAGAGCGCGACGAATTGAATTCGCACTTTACACGCTCCATGACGATAAGTTCAACAAGATGGCGATGCATGCAGCTGTCGCCGCCATTAGCTAATCATCACATAAGCGCGTTCGTCCGATTGACAATGACCGAACGAGTTTATCAACTTAACTCACCTTCGAGCATAGAGCGGAAACTCAAGGATGCACATTTTTCATCAGCATGCACAACCTAACGCAACTGCATCTACATAATTTCCAACGTGTCTCAACATAACATAATTTAGGAAGGCTTAAGTCATAGAAAGCTCATAAAATGCATATTAATCCACAGGTATTACGTAACCGTAAATTGCGCATAAATTTCCATCCGTATAGAAATGTGGAGAAAATTCAATAAGAGGAATTTCTATGGAAATTTAATGCTAATCAATCGGATAATGAGTCAAACTTATGCTTTAGTTCAGATTGTTTAATGGGCGCAATTTATTCTTCCTTATTGCGTCGTATATAACGATTTTTAGTGTGCAAGGTAGTTTAAAGACGATTTTTAAGTAAATATCTACGTATTCACAGCGAGAAGACGAGAGTACAAGTACATATGTACTTCCTGTTTTTGAAAACTATGCACGTCGAACACTCGGCGTCGTCGATACTTACGCGTATTATTGGCGTGTCTTTATTTTATTATGTTATTATGTTATTGAAAACTGTTCAAGTTGCCGAAGACGGACCGGATGCCATGCGCAAGGATTTCCTGCTTGTTATTTAAATCGTTTGATTCTTTAATAATAATTTTTACCTTTACAAATCAAGTATTAAGCGATCAAACATATGGCAATACAAAAAAACACTGAATTAATATGAAATTATTGCAAATGGACGGATTTTAAGGTTATTAAAGTATCATAACCTTAAAAATTTATTTGACAGGACGGATAGCGCATATTTTGTAATTTCCGAATGATTTTTTGAATAGTTTGGTTCCGTTAGGGTAAATAATCAAAAGTAGGGTTATATCACGTGGGTAAAATGACAGAATTGTTTAGTAGTTAATATTTTAGGTTATGTAAACGTCAATAGGTTATAAAATGGTGATTTTGCGCTAGTTATCATTACAAATGTTAATGAAAAAGTTTAAAAGTGACT